AGATAGATAGATAGATAGATAGATAGATAGATAGATAGATAGATACGGATGGACAAACAGGCAGGTGATAGAAAGAAGGAAGGAAGGAAGGCCAAGGATGCCAGGATTACATCTGAAAGGGGGTTACTCAGCCTGCTTTTTGGACTCAGCAGAACAGGTCAAATCAGAAAGGAAGCGCCCTGGCTGGGTTCGCACCACAGGCTCGTCCGTGGTGAGTTATGTGGTGGTGGGATCTACAATCCTTGTGAGAAAAAGGCCAACCTGGCCCCCAAAAGCCCCCTGTTTATTTCTCCCGCTGGGGGAAGAGAGCGGGGGCGGCCTGCGGTAGCTCCGCCCCGACGGCCGTCTCCTTCACGGGCGCGGAGAAGCTGCTGTCGATGTGTTGCTAAGCTGGACACGCGCTCGCCTCGGCCAGACGCCCGTTCGGCTCGATCCCGGCTGAACGCCCAACCTGCGCCGCCGCCGCCGCCTCGTTGATCTCGGGCGAGGAGCGGTTCCATCCCCTGCGCGCAAAGGTAAGAGCGCGCCGCGTTCCGCTCCCACCAAACTTTCTCGGTTCCCGGCCGAGGTAGGGAGGCTGCCTTCCCACCGCGATCGGCCGGCAACAGCAGGAACTGTCCGTGGTATCGCAGTGTGAAAGGACAGCTTGGAAATAGCTGAAGAGGCAGCAGCTGATAACTCGCTATGAGAAGAAATAAGGGACGGGACGGTCTTTCTTCAAGATCCGTGTCTCTCTTGGCTAAGTGGAAGTTCTCTCGAATTAGCCCAGGGAACTGGGCTCAGGGATGAACTTTAAAAAGAGCCGGCCGTAGGAGTGCCTCTGAGAACACGCAGAGTGCCTCAAAGCTACTTACTTCCTCTTTCTGGAATGGCAGGGAGACAGGGATCTTTCCAGTTTAAATATTTGATTTCCAGAACCGGCTTTTATTTTTTTTAGGCTCATTATTTAGTGAGATCCAATATAGTATATTCGGCTACCTGAAGATGTGATGTCAAAGTTAAGAGAAGCATTGAAATCCCCATCCTTACTTACTAGCCCATTCAGTGGGCATGGTAGAGTGAATCCAATTAAATACTGTTAAGAAATTAGTTCATTTTAAAGAGTATCCAGTGGATTATTGCCCATTAATGCTTCATTTTTCTATTTTGGAAAATGAATCAGGTATAAACTAACAAGCAGCAACCAAAAGTGGCTGATCCAATTCCATTTCTCTGTTGGCTGTTGTCCAGCCTCTCTGTAGGGTACCAGATTCTGTGAAGGGATTGTGCGTTGCCATTTTCATTATCATTTTAGAATCATTTTTTATAGTTTGATACCATCCAGACATATTGGGTAAGGTAGTCTGTGCCCATTGAAAAAGGGGGTGATAAGATTGGAAAGCACCAAGCTGAAGGCTATTTTATTTTTCAAATAGGCTGTTTTGGTTGTAACAGTCATCATTATTAGTATTTGTAATATTACACTTACCATTCAGATCTTTGTTGGTTCTTGATTTCTCAAGATGGAAGTGACTCACCCCTGGATTTCATTTTTTTTTAAAAAAGAACAGTTTAGCACTACATTTGAAATGATTGATTGCTATAATTCCTGATATCACTTATCCTTGAATCACTTGAATGGGGCCTTATTTGTTTTTCAAAACAGGTTATGTATTCTGTGCAGAAACTTTAAATCCCATTCATAAATTATATGTTCTGTGCATTTTAATGATTTGTGTAAATATGCAAGGTTCAATGAAAAAATGACGTAATATGGATATGCTGAACAGCAGTAGTGAAAATTGATCCTAAGAGTAAAGCATGAGTTGACATCCTGAAATAATGCATAGGAGGTTTACCATATTAAAATTGAAATGATAGTAGAATTTCTGAAGAAAGGGAGGACCTCTTTGCAGAGTTCTGAAATAAAGGGTATGTGTATTAACATGAATGTAGCATTCTATATACAATTTAGTATGTCTGTGACTGTGACAGAATTTGAAATTTCATAACTGAGACTGAATTCCTTATGAGAAAAGAGTAAACAAGTGAAAGATGGAAGCCTTCCAGCATCTCAAAGGAAGGGGAATATGAAGAATGTGGTATAGTAGATAAAACCCTAGTTGGACAAGCAGGGGCTTTACAATGTATTCCTGGTAACCAACATGATTTGTGCTTATGTTTATGTACTGTTTATATATATGCTTATGTATTTATATATGCTTATATACTGTTCATAGAAAGTCATCCTGTCTGACAAAAATCTCATATTTCAATTCAGAGCAATGGATTTCAACATTCACAGTAATTCTGTTTATCTGGTTTAAGCCTCGGTTTGTTGACTTTTATTCATCCCATAATTATATATACATGCCTGATCTAATTCTCCATTTTATCCATGAGATTAAATGAATAGAAAGAGAGAGATTGATGAATGACACTTTTTGCATAGACACATTTATAACTCTTCAACAAAAGCCATCTTCATGGCCTCTTCCAATGTAGTTTATGCGGATGAAAAGGAAAGGAGGCAAAATAAGACCCAGAAGTCAATGACCAGGCAGTAAAACAGACTCTTCCTGCCATAACATTAAGGTTCTCAATCATTTCCTAAGTTACTCAGAAGAATAAGATGGCTGATGATATCAATATCATATATCAATATCATATACCTCTTAGTTGTTTTAATATACAAACACATTCCAGTTACATTAATAATAGTTTAGAACTGAAATATTTCATAACACTAAAGGTCTTGTATATGTTGGCATTTTATGAAAATATTGGGTTAGATCTCGGATGATGTCGAGAAGAACACCATAAACTGGACTGTTACCTTCCAAACCAGCAAAAGGGGAAGGAGGTGTTTCCTATGTTCCTCTTCAACCTGCTGTGTTGCCTAGAAATCTGTTCGATGTAATTGGTGACACTTCTGCAGAAAAGTGGCAGTTTGCAGCAAGGCAGAGGGAAAAAGAAATAGATGAAAACTAGAAGCTTCTGCCTTTTATGCAGAAGGAAGAAATAGCCCAACCTATCAAAAGCAACACAGATGGAGATAGAACAGGATGATGAATGAATGGATGAACCTGGATGAATACAAATCACCTGCACCAGATAGTTTACATCCCAAAATTTTGAAGGACTGGTAGATGTAATATCAGAGACATTGAATATGTAATATTTCAATATGTAATATTTCAAGTTCATGTTTCACAGGGGAAATACCAAAGGACTGGAAATGTAACAATGTGCTTCCAATGTACAAAAAGGGGGGGAAATGAATCCAGAAAATTATAGGCCATCAGCTTAATATCAATATCTAGGAAAATCCTGAAAAAGATAATGAAGCAAGGGATTTGTGAGCACCTAGAAGGTGATTAGTAATAGCCAACATGGGTTTGTTAAAAATAGATCATACCAGACAAACCTTACATGATATTGATAAAGCAACCAAATTAGTGGACCAGCGAAATGTTGTGGACATAATATAGTTAGAATTCATCAGCACATTTGATAAAGTAGATCACAACCTACTTCTTGGTAAGAGAGAACAATATGGGATAGACCAGGGGTGTCAAACTTGTATCATCATGGCATTGTCACATACATATCACGACTTTTTTTCTCTTCACTAAATCAGGTGTGGCCGTGGCCAGCGTGTAATGCATCCAGCCTGCAGGCTGTGAGTTTGACATCCCTGAGATAGACAGTACCAACACAATTGGATGACCACCCACACTCAGCAGTTAGTCCTCAATGGAACTACATCTACCTGGAGGGTAGCATGCGGTGGGGTACCACAAGGTTCTGCCTTGGGCCCAGTAGTTTTCAACATCTTCATAAATGATGAATATGAGAGAATAGAAGAGGAACCCATCAAATTTGCAGATGACACCAAGGTGGGGGTGGGTGGGGAATAGCTAATACTTTAGAAGATAGGCTCAATATCCAGAAGGATCTTGACAGACTTGAACACTGGGCCTTATCCAACAAAATGCAATTCATTGGAGAGAAAAGTAAGGTCCTTCACCTAGGCAGGAAAAACCAAATGAATAGGTATAGAATAGGTGGCACTGTGTAGTAACTGTGAGAGAGATCTAGGTGTCTTAAGGGACCATCACTTAAGTATGAGCCAAAAGTGTGCTGATACAGATACAGATTAACAGAGTTGGAAGGGACCTTGTAGGTCATCCAATCCAACCCCTCACCCAAACAGACCCGACACAATTTTTGACAGATGGCAGTCCAGTCTCTTCTTGAAAGTTTCCAGTGATGAAGCTCCCACAACTTCTGAAGGAAAGCTGTTCCATTGGTTGATTATTCTCACTGTCAGAAAATTTCTCCTTATTTCAAAGTTGAATCTCTTCTTGTTCAGTTTCCATCCATTATTCCTTGTCTGGCCTTCAGGTGCTTTGGAAAATAGCTTGACCCCCTTCTCTCTGTGGCAGCCCTAAAATATTGGAACATTGCTATCATGTCTTGCCTGGTCCTTCTCTTCACTAGACTAGCCATGCTCAGTTCCTGCAACTGTTCATCATATGTTTTAGCCTCCAGTCCCCTCATCATCTTGGTTGCTCTTCTCTGCACTCTTTCTAGAGTCTCAACATCTTTTTTATAGTGTGGTGACCAAAACTGGATGCTGCAGCAGCTGCACAGTCCTAAGATTTACCAATAAAGAGATAGTGTCAAGATAAAGAGAAGTGATAGTATTGCTTTACACTGCACTCCTGAGATCACACTTGGAATACTGCATCCAGTTCTGGTCACCTTGATGCAAAAAAAGTGTTGAGACCCTGGAAAGTGTGCCAAGAAGAGCAAGAGATAAAGGATCTGGAGGCTAAATCATATGGTGAACAGTTGAGTGACCTAGTTATGTCCAACCTATCAAAGAAAAAGAACACAGGGGGAACATGAAAACTGTCTTCCGTTACTTGAGGGGTTTGTCACAAAGAAGAGGTGATTGACTTGTTCTCTGGGACACCGGAGATGTAATAGGTGGAAACTTATCAAAGAGAGAGTAAGTTCCCGCTTACTTTCTTGTAAGTAACAAGAACTGTGGATGTTCAGGACGGAGAATATTTCTACAGATTATATGTCATCAGTTTGCTGTTGATTCTTGGGGACTACATAAATCTTATCACTTGTCTTCAAGAACTGTTAGTCTAGAGTACAGTAACTCATAATAAAGTGTTAAATTAGATTTTAACTTTTGAATAAAATGTGTTTATATAAAAAGGAGTTAACTTGGATTGCCATGAATGATGGTAAGTCATGCAATTTACTAATCCATTTTGTCTGGCAATTATGAAAAGGCTATAATTGATCTCCCTAAACTTGGTTATAAAGAAGCATAGGGGTCACCACGAAGTAAGCTATTTCTATATGAATGAATGTGATGCAGTCATTTTTGCTGTGTAAGCAGTTCCTGCAAGAGTTTCCTGTGAATATAAAAATATTTTAAAGTATTGTTCAATGAGCAAAAATGTTTATGGCTTCCACATATATATTAAGAGGGTTCCCCTCGCCCACTTTTAGT